AGGCCTCCTCGCAGCCGCCGCCGCCGCCGGAGCGCGACGCGGGCCCCGGCGCCGCCGCGCCCGAGTCGCCGCACGCCAGCGCCTCGCCGTGCCAGGAGCACAAGCGCGCCCTGGGCGAGCTGAAGGGGCACCCGGAGCCCGCGCCGTCGCCGGGCCCGCCGCAGCCGCAGCACCTGCTGGTGCAGCACCACGGCCACGCCGCCGCGCTGGCGCACGAGGCGCACCTCAAGGCGGAGCACCACTACGCCTTCAACCACCCCTTCTCCATCACCAACCTGATGTCCTCGGGCGAGCAGCCGCCGCCGCCGCCGCCGCCGCCGCACGCGCACCACCCGCACGCGCCCCACCCGCACGCGCACGCCCAGCACCACGCGCACCCGCCGCACGCGCACCACAAAATGGACCTCAAGGCCTACGAGCAGGTGATGCATTACGCCGGCTACGGCTCGCCCGTGCCCGGCAGCCTGGCCATGGGCCCCGTCACGAACAAAGGCGCCCTCGAGGCCTCGCCCTTGGCCGCGGACCCGTCCTACTACCAGGGCGTGTACTCGAGGCCCATCATGAACTCGTCCTAGAGGCCGCGGCCGGGCCGGCGGGGGCGCGGAAGGCGAGGGCGCTTTGCGCGCGGGACGAACGGACTCGGCGCCGCCAGCCGCCGCCCGCGCCCCGGGGGCGCGCTCCGCGAAGACGGCCTCGTGCTCGCCTCCTCGCCTGCGCCCGCCCGCGCGCCCGCCCGCGCCGAGGTCGGAAAGGACGGGCGCGGGATGCGAGGCGCCCTGCGGCCGCGCGCCCGGCCCTCGAACTCAGCCCTGCTCCCAGCGGGGCGCGCCCCCGGCGCACCTCGGCGATGCTGCTGCTCTGTCCCGGGACGCGCGCCGACCTTTTCTCGCCGACTCCGGGAACGGAAAGATTAGGAAACCAAAGCGCCCGCCTCGAGGAGAAGCGGGGAGCGCACGGCCCGCCTGCCACCGGCCTCGCTCCGGACCGCCTCCGTTTCCTTCTGACCCCATTTCATTTTCTTTGAATTGGAGGTTGCTTTTTAGACGATCCCTTGTCTGTTTCTTTGTTTGTCACGGGGGGTTATGAATATATCTATTTTTGGGGGTGTGAAAGCAACACAGAAATAAGCGTGTGCCTGAACCGATGTTAGAGTTTAAAACCGCGGATCAAAAAACTGTAGCGATTTGAAGTCCAAACAAGAAAAAAAGAAAAAGAAAAAAAGAAAAACAGGGGGGTGGAGAGAAGGACTTTAGATTGTAATTTGACACGTGAAGGTTTGATGTTACCGGGAGAGTAAATGAGCCTGATCGAATTAATTTATCGTTTCTGTACGCTTTATTTATGGCTGATAAATGTGTATTCTGGTAACGACCAGTCACATTCTCACAAACCTATATTAAAATGCTGTTGGAGATATTTCCCCTTCCTTCATCTTTTAAAAAAATCATGAAATCCGTAATGCAAAGGGATTCAGAAAAATGTACTGTGCTTGGAGTTGGATTAAAAAAGGGGTGGGCATACGGTTTCTCTCTCTTTGCATAGAAAATGCTTGGAAGAATATGTATATTTAAAGCATTCCTATACCCGCTCATCTGGTCCAAAGGCCCTTGAAACTAGGTAAGGCTTGCATTTGAATAGCAAGGTATAGCTGTGCACTGCAAGAGACTTATATAAAACAAAATACATATAAAATGTATTCTGTTTCCGCCTATTGATACTCTGAAGAGAACTTGTTGCTCTCTAGATTTTTTTTTTTTGGTCTACAACTCCCATCATCCCTCACCACTGGCTAGGGCTGATGGGAATTGTAGGCCAAACAGTTGCAACATTGCAGGTTTTCCACCCTGGTGCTACTTTAGTGGGTGGGTTTCCTTTGCCGCAAGTCTCACTGCGTTTCCCCAAACCTCCTCTGGCCAGACCTGTGCAGGTTCGCCGAACCGTTTTCCGTTCTTCTTGCTGCTGCTGTCAGGCACTTAATATACTTCCCTGTGAGCTGAAAAACAGTGACAATTTAAAACAAGCGGACACGATAAAGGGGATATTAAAACCCATAAAACATTAGACCGCTGATGCACCAAGTTCAACGGAACTTCTCTGGTGTGGCGAGATGGCATCTTTACTCCCAAGCAGCGGCGCATAGACATGCAGCTGGTGGAGGAAACTGCCGCTCGACTCAGCTTGTGACAGGTTGTGTCCCGTGTGCCTGCAGTGTCGGGCGGCCGGGGTCCTGCTCCCGGCCCAGATTCGCTCCAGGCGTTTTGCTTACATGACCTTTTCACGACTGAATGGACACAATTCTGTGCCTCTCTGCACGGAAATAAGCTCCACTATATTAAATGGGGCTTGCTCTCTAGTCATTCCTTTCGGGATTGCAGCCCTTACGTGTTTGGGATCCAGCTTTCTTGCAGTCTTCCCACTGACTTCGGGGAGTGCCTGGGATCGTAGCCACGGTAGAAAAGAATGTGCCCCCACCCCCAGCTGCCATTCAAAGGTTCTGTAAGGCTGCAGTGCTATATCTGGGGATACGCGCCATGAAACTCACATTTGCTTCTGAGTAGAAGTGGAAAATTGCATGGCAGGGCGTTGTGAGGAACGTAGGCACTAGCACAGCTGTGTCTGCCCCAAAATGAGTCCCACTAAATTCAACGGGACTCACTCCCAGCCGAGAGCACCTGCTCGCAGCATTAAATACAGACAAGATCCAGCCAAAGTTTGCTATACCTGAGTTGGGCCTTGGAGCCAGGAGGTTGACTTTTTACATACAAATAATTAAAAACAGTTTACCATATTGTCTTCAACAGACAGGTGCCATCCAGATGAACGGAGCCTCTTGCCTTCCCCAACCCTTGAACTTCTAGGCTGCTGGGTGTCTGCCATCAGCTCCACTCATTTCAGAGTGAGAGTCCTTCGGCTAGTAAGGAGCTTACTTCTGGCAGGGTGGCAGAGCGAATGCTTTAGGGCCAGAGCGCATCTCAGGCCCTCCGAGTGCTCCCTGCCCGCTCCTGTCCGTAATCCAGACACCCGCTCTGTCACCTGGAACCGCGATCTGTTCCTTATTACTGTCTTGGGCGAGGCGGGAGCCGAACTTCTCAGGAACTGGGGCTTAGCCCAAGAAGCGCACAGTGCAAACTTTGGCAAGTTTAGAGAGCAAAAGGGTTTGTATCTCCCAACATGCCCAGCCGGGAGTTGTTGACCTTTTCCCTACTTGCTTAGCGGGGCGCCGCTCTTCGAGGTCGAATCAAACCTCGAGCTGCTCATCTCCCGTCTCCGCCTTAGCGCGCCCGCAATTCCTTCAAATGTTTCGGGCTATTCTAGCTTTCCCTCCTTAAAGCTAACCCGCGCCGGGCGGACTCCTCTGGGCAGCTAGTGAGGGTGGGGTCGATCCATTTCTGTGCCCGGTTAGGACGCACCAGCGCTGGTGCCCGCCGCGACTCTCTGAATCCGAATTCGAGCCCCAGTGGATGGGCTGAGTTTTCTCGGATTTGGATCCCGATTCGGGGCAAGGGATAGCCCAGAGGCTGCGCGCCTCCCGTCCTCGCAGGGCGCCCTGCCCCGCGCGCCCCGCGGATCGGGCGCTGTACGCCCGGAGCTCTCCCCTCCCGGTGTCCTTTCCGCGCCTTCCTCTATCCGCTGAACAGCAGAGGGGGCCCCGATCCGCGCGACCTGACTCATCCAGGGAGCCGCCGGTGCGGGGGTGCCGGTGCAGGGGGCCAAGGGGAAAGGGGCGGCGGCTCCGGACCCAAGCCCGGCGCTGCTCCTCCTCGCGGGACCTCGGCGGTGGGGCAGCCGCGCCTGAACGCCGGGCTCCGAGTCCAGCCCCCTCCCCGCCGGGGGACCCCTGGAGTGGCAGGCGATGGAGCGGGGGGGGGCGACGGCAGGCAGCCCCCGGTCGCTCCCACGATGCTGTGATTTCAGGGAGCTTTAATGCCAAACTGCACGTGTTCGGATTATTATTATTATTATTATTCCAGGACTGCAGCGTGAAGAGTGATATTAATCGTCACACAACATGGCTGTCTGAAGCGGGTTGAGGACTTAAGCCCATTAAACTGAGCGTCTAAAATTAACAAACGGAATGCCCTGCCAGGGCATCCCAGACCTGTTCTCCACAGCAATCCCTGGCGGTCTACTCACGAGTCAGTCACCTTGTGTCCCGTGGGGGTCCCCCCCCCCCCGCCACTAGACGGGCATCGGAATGCCCACTGCAAGCCGTCGGGGCTGCTTCTCCTAGGTAGAGACCCTAAAACCGTGTGGACGTGATGGTCCGCTTCCAAGCAACGAATGCCTGGAGAGGCGGGGGCGGGGGCGGGGGGGGGATCCTGAGCCCCTGGGTTTTAGTGGGAGTGGCGCCCCCTGCTATCCTAGGCAGCCAGTCCCATTGCCAGGTGTGAAATCGCAATCCTATCTCTGCTGATAGACATCTCTCAGCAGCACGGAACTTAGCTGGGGTTTGACTTACTTCCGAGTAAAGCTGGTCCTAGGCATGGCACTGAAGTACATTCAGCGGGACTTACTCCTGAGTCGTCTATCCAGGTGAGGATGGAGAAGATTTTCCGGGGAAAGGAAGTGTAACAGCATCTCATTTCATGACCCCCATCATTGCGGGTGGTACTGATGGTAAAAGCTCTTTGCGGGACTTGAGCGCTTTTTAGAGAATTCAGAACACGCCTGAGGGTTTTTGTTGTCATTTTCACAACAGCCTCGTGAGGTAGGCCGGCGTTAGTTCTGCATTGCAGACAAGAAGCCGAGGCCGAAAAATCGCGGGGGGGGGGCTGGGAGCAAAGACAAGGGGCAAAAACAGTGTGTACTTGCCGGCAAACGCGCGGCTTGAATGCCCCAGGACTCCTTTCGGGTGAAGGCTGGGATCCTGCTTGAGCAGAAACCAAAGGAGGGAAACCCAAACCTGAGCACACCGCAAACGTTTATCCACTCCATCCGTCCCAGTAAGTCTCCCCAGCCGCCCTTACTTTCACACATTAGCTCGGAGGTCCAGGGCTGCTTCACACGTGCAGTCCAACACGTGGTGACTCACATAGGCAATTGTGTTCCGTACACGTGGCAGCTTCGCAGTGCCTCATTCAGCCCGGCCGCACCCCTGTGCAGGCGAAGGACAAGCGTGGGGACGGAGAGATCCGCAGCTTCTCTGCAAGCCGTAGGATCCGGTCCCCAGTAAACCCGTTAGCAAGCGGGACCCACAGCCGGCCACCGCCCTAAGCTGGGCTGCCCAGGCAGCGCACCTGGCAGGATATTCCCTCGTAGGGTGGCCAGAAGTCGAGGTGGCTCGAGGTGTGTAGTGGCAGAACCCACAGGGTTTCGGTTTCATATGAGAAGAACCCCCCCTTTCGAATGATTTGTCTCCCAAGTCGTTATGTCGGTGCTACGAGGCTCTGTGGTCCTGCCTGGGAGAGGCCCCACTGAACTTAATGAGCTTTACTTCCGAAGAGTCGTGCGCAGAGTGTAAGGACGGCACGTTCGCACTTTCTGAGAAAAGTCACCCAGTTTCTGCTGGAACGCAGCCATGTGGACGAAGCAAGGTGGTTCGGTACGTGTGTGCTGTAAGAAACATGCCCATTTC